CCCTTATCGTGGAATTATTACTGTTCTCCCCACAGACTCCTTTTCCTGGTCGTACACTTTTCCATACTAATGAATTTCTACAGGCAAGTTTTTCCTGGTCTCTGTGGGTTACGTGTGGACAGACATTGGATAAAGGAATTTGCATGTACGTGTGAGGGTTGGAAAGCTCGTAGCAATCTGTATGCCATGCTCAAAGGTTAAATTTGACAAAAAACACATTAAAATCTCTCCAATTTTTGTCCACTTACAATGAGTTAATATGATAATCTACCCAGGAGCTGTATATGTCAAATTTTGACCCTCAATGTTCTAGAAATTTTGTAGTAAGATGGAAATGACGTAGACAGTCACAGGAAAAGATACAAACTTCAAGTGTTTCTGTCAGAACTATCAGCTACCAGCCCTATACTCAGCCAGGTCCAGACACAAGTCTGAACAATTGTCTATCACGAAGTGCCGCTCAATACATATCTGCGACTGGTAAAAGGGAAACAACATATGTCATATGTCATACACTATCAGTATCACCCATCTTGTGATAGCTTTGGATACACCGTTTTCGACACCCCAAGAACTTGCCAGATACAAGTTTTTTTGCTGCCTCCTCTGCTATTACTTCCGTTGTCCTTCCTACCCGGGAGGTAACGAGCTTATGATCACTCACGGCACGGCTTATCTTTTGATGGTAATGTGTTGGCAAGCCATCCCTAGGCTGCCTCACCGGCGGGCTTGATGCAATCGCCCACCGCGGCATCCATCATGTAACCGCTCGCGGAACGCTACCTGCAGTTCATTTCAAGCGTATCGTGATAGAACATTGATAAGCTTTTGTACTCGCAGGCTAGGACATTCATTTTCCCCGGGCTGCCACAAATCGTGCTGTGTAGTTCCAACGGTTGGAATTAGGGGGAACAGAAAGATATGTGGCGCATTATGGACGTGTCACAGACTGCCTTTTTTTCCAAAGCTTAAAGCTTAGCAAATCTTTCTGTTCAGGAAATGAACTCTGTGATAAATACTTTGGGGATAAAAGTTTCTGGAGGGCCTAAATTGATTTGTTGGTTACAGGCCTGATGCAGTTTACCTGGGGGGAGAGGAAACAAATCAAAAGAAATATCTGATTTCAATTCCAGTTTAAGCACAGAGCGCACATGGAAATTATAACAAGTATGAATCTATGATTAGATTTCCTAATGCTACTAGTATGTGCTGTCAACTTTGAAGGACAATTACAAAAAATGTATGAAACTGACATTAACTTTCGATTATACGGCCTTCCAAGTTTTACAACTCTTGGCGATGCTTTTTAATTGTATCGTTAAACATACACTGTTTCTAAGTTATTAACTCTTACCATATCATAAACTGTTTACGATGTGGACACCTTGTTGTTTCATTGAACCCAGAGTAACGATGCTCCAAACCTTGCTGCCATTAACAAAGCTTTACTGTGTGACAGTTTGTGGCCTGGAGATGTGTCAGGACCCTTACACATTTTACTGAACTTGAACACAAGTTCAGGGCATGAAATAGTGTTAACAGAATTGTCTTCGTATTAAAGAGAAAGTGAAGACCTCCTGACTTCATACTAACTTGCCTAGAGGGACAGCTTAAGTTAGATAGCGCTTTATACAGAAAACTGATTCGTTGGGGCGAAGTTTTTGTCATGAGCAGCAGAATTCTGTCAGATTTGACAGAATGAATGAAGAATGCTGGCTAGAACACTGCATAGTCCTCCAGAAGAAATTAGGCAGACATATTCCCTACTCCCTCATCGGAGAGAAAGTGTAGTAAATTATATGAATCCCACAACTTGTTATCTGTCCTTGGTGCTGAAATCCCTGCTGTTCTTTAAAAATAAGAAAATGATTGTTATTAGGGTCTCTTCAAAACTTGCTTCAATAAGCATCTGCCTACAGAATCCAGTATCAAAAATTAGATTTCACTGCTTGAAATTTAAGCAGTTCAAAAGTAGATTTTTGGTACTTGGCATGGGTAGACTGAGGCCTGGGTACCAAACCTTTGGTCGGCTTGGTTTTCCTACCCTGGCCTCTACTTTACCTCTGTCTGCTGACTTCCTGTGTTATGCTGAGTCTTCTATTGCGTGTCAACCAAAAGAAGCAAAGAAACCTAAACTGTCTGCAAAAAGCTACCCCTGGCATGCGGTAATTGGGGCCTGGACTTGGTGGCCCGAAACGCTACCAGCCCCGAAGATATAGCACTGAGCTCACGGGGTTCTGGTTACTGGGCTAGGTAGAATGGGACTTCCCTCGATTGCCTTGCCATGCACCTCTACATCTGTTGGTGGGATCTTGGGGGTCAAATTGAGGTGGGATAACTCTGCATTATCTGACTTCCTGTGGGAACTGTCTGGCCTTGACATGTACCATAACTGCAGCCAAGGTGAGGATAAACTATGCGTCGGCCCAGGATGAGAGACTGCCCATTACAGTAATTTTGAAGTAACGCCTGTCGAGCCATTAAGAAAATATCCTTCTCAGTGGGCTGGTTCTATCATTACAATGTAACATGCAATCCAAATACACATTTATCAAGACATGAGCGGATTTTCTGCTAAGGGTTTGAATGGTACTATCTGTGTTCACAGCTTGGGATGCCAGTCAAGTAGGGCGTTCTTCCCTGTTTCCCTACTGTGTTTGTAAATGTGTAATTCTTCTTCTGTGCCTTCTGATGCCATTCTGTTCATTTAGAGTACAAAAACTATCTATATCTATTGTAGTTTTTCCATTTCTCTGCAGAAATAGAATTTTTCTGTTGGTACATATTGAAACTAACGTGTCTTTTAGCCTGATGCATGTTCATGATGTACAATGTCTCATTCGCATTCCACAAGGAGTTTTTTCACCAGGGAAAAGCTTTTCCAATGGACAGTATTATACATACCTGAAGGGTAGAATAGTCCATATTTCTCTGAAATGTCTTTGTAAGTCTGTTTGGAATAAGGGATTGGGATGCTTTGGTTTCAAATTTCTCAGATGAAAACCTTGATACAATTTTATGCTGCACATCTAAGGTGGGATTCACAATTAATGGAAAAAGTTGTTTTTGGTCAAAAAACCTTTTTTTATGAAAATGGAAGGGTTGAGAGATCAAGAGCAAACTGATAAATGGAGAAACACTTATGAAGTGAAAGGTGGGCGAAGGGTCAGCAAATGGTCCTTACTTCCACTTGATGAGATTTGGAAATGGAACAGTGCATCACATAAGCTGACCCTTTTAACTCCGTAGTTTGATTCATGTTTTAAGTCAGGAAGAATGTTACAACTAGAAATGTAACATCTGCAAAGCAAATGCATAATGTTTTCCTTCATGTATAGTCTGCTCTGTTATTCTTACCCAAACACATTCATATACATGGTGACAAGATAAATTCTTACAGCATCTTCCATAGCCATAAGTGACCCATTCTTAATCTTATCATCAGACACTTCCCATTTGTATTTAACATATTTATATTTAAATACCTGAATACCCTGCAGACTGACTCATATCTTCGGCACTGTGCTCATTACATTACACCTGCAAATTGGACCATTGTCGCTTGAACTAGTTTTTAAACCGTAGGAAGTCCTCGTTATTTTACACTCCAGTTGTGAAGAAACATATCAGCACCGACACATGTAGGCTTTGCCTCCTCGGATCTCTCACATGTCTGTGTCCCATGCAGCTTGTAACGGATAGTTTGCCGGAAGGAGCCTGCTTGGATGTGATTCAGTGGTTTCTATTACCTCGGGTTCATTTGTCAGAATCAGCCGCATGCATGAGGCTCCTGAAAGGCCTTAAAGCCAGAGTGAACTGCTGTTATGAATAAAGGAGTTTCTTCCACAGCCTGGCACACTCATTCTGCATTGACCTCCCAGTAATCGGTCTTGCTCCGTGGCTCGTGTACCATTTATGTGTACCAAAGTATATACGGTCTGGAGCGATAGCGCGTAGGCAAAGCCACGGACTATTAACTCTAAAATGGACCATGTCTTCACAAGTTTTGAACCTGAAATCTTTCCTCTTTGTACATTAGATGGCCAGCATTTCACTTACTACTTTGATCTTGCTGTAAATTTCTTCTTATCAAGTGATGATCCAAATACAGTAGTTACTGTAGAATGTATTCATCTTGGCAGGTAGCTATGAAGTGGCTATTTTCGGTATACAATGACCACAATCATGATAAGAACTTGTGGATTACAAATTGTTATAATATTTTCCTGTGTAGTGACAATTCATGATAAGTCATGCCAGTGGCTGGTGGAAGTTTACTGATGAATCTGGATACCAAAAGGTCATCGTGATGGCCAAACTATATCCATGAAGGTCACCCAGTGTTACCCTTCTGTTTGACCTTGCCACCAGCACGTTCATGATGAAACAGGGCTCGAAATGAATATTTCCCAAGAACTAGCATAGACTCGTTGCCACCAAGCACAGTTGGGGCATCATAACTAGAAAAGTAGAAAGCTTAAAAGAACACCTGCAATTTTATTGTACAAAGATTGTAACAAGTTGTTCTGTGTGATATAGCTAGCTGCCGCCGTGTCACTTGCCTGTGAAGCTAGTGTGTTAGGGATACAGTATTTCGAGCCCTTGGAAATGCCTCAGTGTGTATTCTATAAGAGAATGTCTGAACAAGGCCCAGTGGTATCAACATGGATTATGAACTGTTTGCCATTTTGGCCTTGAACTCTAACTGCGAGGCAGTGCCAATTTTCTCCCAGTTATTAGAGTTGCAGGCTACATTTTACATGAAGTGGTGTGAGACAGGTCAAGGTTAGACACTGTTGAACCCCACCTGTAACATTATGTGTGCTGGGTTCTTAAACATGTAGCTGTCTTTAGATATGGAGCCTTTTAACTTGCATCAACAAAATTGCTATAAGTAAAATACATAATGTTATGGCATGCTACAGACATGCTTTAAAGTGTTGGACCTGAATTTATGTGGCAGAAATGATAGCAATTTCTTTGTTGTTGTTTTTTTGTAGGCTTTGGTGACAACTTTGCCTGGGTGGACTTTGAGAGTGGCTTGCAAGAAGCAAAAGAAACGTAAGTACCAAATTCGTATTGCCAATAACAAGGATATGACATACATGTACTACTGTTGCAGATTTGAAAGTCTTAACTGTCTTCTATATTCTTCTATTATGATGATCTTGTATCATCTGACACATTTACATGTAGTTATTAGGATTAGTACATGTTCTTGTGTTTTTTGTATCAAGTTGTTATTTTTGTTTTAATTATCAGCAAGAAACTTAAATAGTGAATAGTGTAAAGGCCTTGAATACATGTGCAGTGTCAAGACTTGTAGAGTCTTCAAAAAGAAAAGAAAAGAGACAGGCTCTGAGCTGTCCATAAACACATATTCGAGTTACTGTATGATCTAGACATGAAAAGCGGACACTTTTCTCCCAAGCCAAGGGCTCTGACCGAGGATGACTTTTTTTAAAACAGCTTAATCCCCCGTATTAAGTTGGATATCTCTCCTAAGAACCTCTAAACCAATACGGACAATTTCAAGTTAAAGCAATTGTCTCCGGGGCAGAAGCAATTTTCCGTAGGGCAAAGGGTGATTTGCTCTGGTTTGATTCTTACACGTTAGCTGACCCCAATCAAAGTAAATGCTAATGATGTAATTTACCACCTCGTGGCCGGCCACCCTCCCTCCTGTTCATCTAATTTTTGGGGTCGTCGCGCATTCACCTGTCCTAAGTGTCTTCCCTCCCCAGCCAATAGTGTTTAATGGTGATGTGTTGTTTGTACAGACTTCAAAGATCCCAGCAAAACACTGATGATTATCTCTTCAAGAGGCAATTAAGGGCAGGCTTTTGGTAATCCCCTGGTATTGCCCTTACTTTGCAGACCACAGCAGAAAGACACAATTAGGTATAATGACCTATTTACATATACATTGCAGTTTTTGTAAAGTACTGCTGAAAAAGGGTTGCTGTGAAATAGACCTTAGATGGTCAGTTTCCTTTTTAATAAGAGGATTTTATCATTAATTCAGGTCTATTACTTATAGGGCCAGTAGATTTTCATCCTCTTTAGATGTGGACCAGGCTGGATAAGGCAATAAATAAAACATGTCATCGAAAACAGGGATGCTGCAATCTTTCTTCCGAGTCAGGGAAGTTAGACTTTTGCAACATTGTTTTAATGTATGTTATGAATGATATCAGTAGTCAGCATAATCAGTGATGCTTTGTAGACTTAATGCCACAATTCCCAATTCTGAGGGTACCAAGAGACAGCCACATTACTCAAGTTGCAGAGAAAAAGTACAGCTGTCCCCAAGAGTTTTGGCTTATGTATAGCTTTCCTGACAAGCATTTCTTTCATGTAACCAGAGCTGGATGATTGCCAGCTTTAGTTGTCAACCACGTCAAAGCCTTGCCCTTGGAGATGAATTCTAAGGAGGCCAGTTTCTTGCAAGCGCCACTGCGCTTTCTTGAGAAGTGCACGGCTGTGTCGGCATACATAGCCATGCTCAGCACATCTAAGCCACGCTTTGCCAGCTGAAGATATCTAAAAGTAGAGAGGGTATCAATTTGGACACACACGGTTGAGGACTGCCGGAAAGATCAGTGATTAATTGCGCACTGCCTTTCCTGGTGCGTGTCTGGGAATAGTAATGAAAAAAAGTAGCTAACTCCAGGCTTAAAGCTCTCTCTTCGAAACAGTGTAGTGAACGGCAGTGTGTGGATAGTGTTTAAAAGCCCCCGGACCTGCTACCGGCTATGAAAAGTTTGATACCATCAATGATTGATGAAAAGAGCGCATAGCTCGGGACACAAATCTTACTTCAAAATCTGCATGTGAAAAAGTGAAATTGATAGCAGAGTAGATAGTTTTAAAAGCCCCCTGGACCTGCTAGTGGCTGTAAAATGTTTGATACTACTGTATAAACAGCGAATGTAGGAACTTGGGATGTGAATCTTACTTCAGATTCTGCATTGTAAAAATGCTTAATGGAAACACAGTCTATTGTATCTAAAAGCCCCCTGGACTTTCTGAAGTCTACGAGAAGTTTGATACTATGAATGATAAGAGTATAAAACATACAGCTTGGGACATAAATATTGCTTCAAAACCAACATGGAAAAACAATGGATAACAGCAGTTAAAAGCCCTCAGGAAGCCCAAAGGTAACAAAAAGCTTGATGTATTTGCTTGCAGGTGTCCCAGATGGTAACAGGATTTTCTAGAAAAATGAGAGGCTACCTTCTGTTGGAAACCGTACGCTGGATGGCAAAACCATTATTAGTCCCATCCCTGTACAAAGTAGCCTGATCGATGCAGTGGTCCCAACTTTTTGTCAGAAAAATATTCCCGGATAAAAGTAGTGTTAACTAGGGTCCGTCCTCTGTTCCAGTGTCCTGTCAGGGTAAGCCTCGGTCAGACAACTTGATCCAGCACATTTCGCTTTTCCTGCAAAGGAGGGAAGGCCGAAATTGGGCCCCAAATCCTAGTAATTTATTACTTTACCATTACTTTGCCTTGCGTTCCTATACATAGCACCATGATGTTGTATAACGAAGGATAAAGCAACTATACATGTAGTGTGAAAATGGGGAAGGTTTGTATGTGTACCACAATCATGACAGACATTTGCACCTTGCTAATGTCAAAATGATGATCATGAAAGGTCAACCTTGTTTGTACGCTTTTCCTGCAAACGAGGGGAAGGTGTGTGTGTGTACCTCAATCACTACAGACATTTTCACTTTACTAATGTCAAAATGATGAAAGGTCAACCTTGTTTTTTCGCTTTTCCTGCAAAGGAGAGTAGGCTAAATCCCAGTAATTTATTACTACAACGTTACATTGCCTTGTACTCCTATATATAGATAGCACCATTATGTTGTGTACTGTCAAACGATAAAGCAACTAGTGCGAAAATGGGGAAGGTGTGTGTGTGTACCTCCATCATTTGAGACATTTTCACCTTGGTAATGACAAAACGACAAAAAGGTCAACCTTGTGTGTGTTGTAAGTGGCTGTGTAGGCGCTTTGCCTTGTACTTATATCTAGATAGCACTATTATGTTGTGTACTGTCGAACGATAAAGCAACTAGTGCAAAAATGGGGAAGGTGTGTGTGTGTACCTCCATCACAGGAGACATTTTCACCTTGCTAATGCCGAAATGACAAAAAGGTCAACCTTGTTGTGTTGTAAGTGGCTGTGTAGGCGCTGGGGTGTCTGATATATGTTAGCAATTAAGCCACAAACATGTGTGAATGGTAGAGGACAAATTGAACAAGACATTTTGCTTAAGCAGCCATTTGTACCTGGGTGATATTTTAGACCCAGGGGATCCATTAGGGTCGTTTTAAGGATTTGAAATATGGCAGGTTCTGAGGAAATGATTCATTGCAGTTGAAACCTAAAGCATACTGAAGTCGGCATTGGCTTTTGAATGGATTTTTAGCAATACATGTAGACTGGCCTCCTGGCCCTTTTGCAACATCTCAAAAGTATTCAAAGAATGGCTTGGTTGGGCCTAGGAAATACAATGTTGTATTTTCTGTTTCGCGACCGACCCTAGAAAAAGCTGCCAACCCTAGGCTTTAGAGATTGCCAAAGTCTAATAAAAAAATAAATAAATAAAAAAAAGATCCTATACCTACATGTACCAACCCTATTTTTTTCAGGAATGAAACAGGAAGCACAACATTTTTTTCCTAAGCCTTGGCTTTGTCTCCCTTGATCCAAAAGTTGGTTGAAGAAAGATGTTTGAAACAAAAGTTGGGTTAAAAAAGTCTGATGAGAATTTTGTCTATTATTGTAGAATATTAGCTTCCATTGTATTTTCTTACCTCTCATGGTTCCCTCAGCAAGCATGCATGTACTTTTTTCACGCAAGTACAAGTACCCTCCAAATTGAACACTTAATATGCATTGGCAGCATGCAACTGGGAAATGAAGAAGCACTACCTTGACTAAGATATAACAATAGCAAGATGCACATGCCACTAAATGTACATGTAATCCTTTGTTGTAATGACTATGGTGAGAATCTTTAAATTTCACACTGGATAGCCCTTTACTGGTGCGTTACAAATGCGGTAAGTCATTTGTGCCAGTGACTTGTTTGCCATTAGCATTTAATTGACATGGATTACTGCCTTCGATAATGCTGTCAGGGCTAAACAAATCTCATGCCCCAAATAAAGCAATAAGCCCCAATCCCTCACTGTTTATCAATTTTGCAGCTTATGAGGAACCTAATTAATACTCGGCACCTATAAGGGTTATCATAAATTTGCACTGTATAGTCATAAATTAAACCTGTTGCCTTTTCAATATAAGTCACTTCCTCGCAAATTTATTGCTTGCCATCTGTCCAAAATTTCATTTGAAGTCCTCAATGATAACAATTGTGTGTCCATTTAACACAAAGGTCTTTAATTCCCAATCTTTTTTCCAAAACCGTAAACAGTTTAGTGCATTCTTCCATTAATTTGATACAATAATTATTTTCATTATAAAGGGCTTCCAATATACATTAGGGGTATCTTTCTTGCTTTTTGGATTCCTAATTATTAACAGTTATGTATCATGTTTGTGATAAATATTTTTTACTACAAATGAGGCTTACATGTACTTTCACATTGTCCTGATGAAACTTTATGTGTATACTTAGTTACCCTCTTTGATTCCCAGTTTGATGTCCTCCATTTTGCCAGCCCTGTTATACTTTAGTACTCTGTTCTTTCAGTCATGTGATGTATGTGTATCATCTACATGATTAAGGGCTTCTACCTCTAGTACAAATGAGCCTGCCATCGAAAAAGCACTCAACCTTTGAGCCCGATGAAGTGCGGCTTGCCTCGCCTCCGCGCTACGCGGGCACAAGGAAGATTGACCATAAAAGGATGAAAGCCCAGAGACATTAATTCCACTTGATATAACGCTGCGACGCGCCAGCAGTGTAGATATAACAGTCTTTGAGCTTCCATTTCTACAGTATCTAAATTAAAAGGATTTTCACGGTATTCCTCGTAACACTTAAGGATGGTCTTCTATCCCGCCAAATGACGTT